GCACGTGCTTGTGCACGTCATTTTTTGCAAGTTAGGGGGGGTTTAAAAGCAAATTGCATAAGCAGAGATTTGATCTTGTAGCAGTCTGCTAACATCCAAACGAGTCATCAGAAGGAGTGGAATAATTCTGAGCCATCCCACAGCGCCCGGCTACTTGGGCCAACTGATGGCAATAAGATAATTCTCTATTTAAACCACCTCCGTAGAGGAACAACAGAGTTGTTGGTGATTCCCTCTCTTGACAGTGTCCTGGCTTCTCAGCACTGTCTCTTTTCACCCTGCTCCCGTTTGCTTCCCCAGCCAAGAAGTCCAGTTTCTTTTTGCAGATAGTTGTAGCTTCCCTGCTCAGACTAAGAGTGTACTCTCTCCTGCACCCAACTGGCCTCCCTTGCTCTGCTGGGCTCTGTTTGCTCACGTCCTTCTCCCTTCTTTTTTTTACCTATTCTGGTTTGATCTCTTTGGTTCTTCCGTACTGAAATCAAACAACTTCCACCAGGCTGTCTGGATGGCAAGCAGGAGAAATATTAAGAGCCAGAGACACTTGTTTCGTGGCACCCAGATGGGTGCTTCTGATGAAGCCTAGTTCAGCCATTGCAGAGTTACGTTGTTCTGGTGTCGAGCCTGTGGTGGGTTTATATGCCATCTCATCAACCTGGACAGCTGTGAGAAGAATCAGCATGTTTAGCAAAAGCGAGATCTTTGGGAATTTTTCCTATTTAAAACTTCAGCAAGTCCCTAGCAAGTGTCCACAAACTGAAGTTTCCAACCGTTTACAGCCTGGCTAGAATGAAGCAGCAAAATCCTTAACAGGCTACCTCCTGTCTTAACCTCTGCTCCAAACGTGGGGATGCAGGAGCTTCTCAAAGAAAAGGTTTCTGTAATTTGGCAGCACGGACCAAACAACTGATGCTTCGATAGGCTCGTTCTTGGAAAGGTCGAAGCCGTTTGGCTGCAGATTTTCAAATAAGTTATCCCTGAGGCACACACCTGGTGAGGGAAGTTTTCAGCCAAACAGTTTAAGTTTGGCAAAGTTTTTAAGCCACTTTGAAAACGCCGTCTTATTATAGGAGGCATCTGGCAATCACAACAGTTGGCAGTCGTGCTAGCCCCACCTGTAATATTTTTGGATCATTTAATAATGTAGTGGAGATTTTTAAGCGAGTATTTTTTCTGTTAGAATGCAGTAAGATGCAACTATGCAGCTTCCTCATCCTCCGCTGAGCTATAAAACATAGAGAGATCATCTTAAGCAAGCATGTTGAGTTTGGAATCACCAGCCGACTCCCGTAAGCTTCATAATACTGGGAGGTCTGTAACTGAACACGTATGTTAAGAAATGAGAGAAAATCTACTAAAATTGCTACTGACTTTGGGAAGTTTTAACACCCTCAGTCTACCTTTAATTATTTTAAAAAGATATTTTCGCATGTTCTAAAAACTATTGTAGAAATGAGAAAATAAAGTCTCACTGATACGTTTCATCCGTGGGTGTTTTGACTGGTTAGTATGAGCTCTGATAGCGTCGTGCTCTTTTAAACAAGAGAAAAGCAGTAAGTACGCAAGAACAATGATAACAGAGAACATTTTGGCATGCGCAACTTTCACGTCTTTTAAAAAAAATATTTGGTATTTGTGACTATACTCAGCAAACTTTGTGAGAGAGAACAGCGAGCTTTTTAGTCATTTGAAGTATTAACATTTTTATAGCTAAAGGATTATATCCTCCAAACAATTCTATAGCCTCGAAAACCAAATAAATAAATAGTTTAGGCCTGACTCCATAAGCCTTTATGGGCTAGAATTTGCTCAGTATGCTTTTTGTTTGTTTGTTTACTTTCAGATGCAAAACGTTTGGGTGCAACAAGTCGGTGTTCTTACTGCACGGCAGAATATACTTTATTCTGACCTGTAAAGGGGATGAAAATTTTCTTGGTGGTGGTAGAGTGATTTTGGTAAATTGCCCAGTGGGGCTTCACATATTACAAGGATAAACAGATTACACCCAGTAGAAACTTTTGTAGAATGTTGGTAGCAGGAAGGAAAACTCAAAAATTTGTCACCTCTGATCAGACCACTGGTGTTTCAGCTCTCTCCCTCTGCTCTGCCATCGGAGAAGTTAGAAAATGCCTTAGAGGATGCTGAGGGACTCTGGTAGACGTGCATGTATTAATACGTAGGTGGGGGAAATGTATTTCTAACACCAAGCATCTAGTAGACGGTATTGGGGTCCTAAAACTGGGGTGCTGTAAATGAATTTGTTTCATTTTGCGGCCTTTCCTGTCTGTCCTTGCTCAGAACATTAATTAATATGCTGAATAATCCCCCAGTGATAACAGCTCATCAGGGCAATCTTGGTACCAGGTTGTGAACTGACCATACTAAGGAGATAAAGCCTAACTAGCCTAAGTCACACCTGGATAAACTCAGCTTGTTGCAGCCACCTGGCAAGTCATCTCCAGAATTCATACTCCGCCAAAAAAAAATTGGACTTTTAGTAAGTCCAATGAGTGTGTCCTTGGTTTACCAAGAAAGCTTTAGTTTAGCCCACGGTCCATCCCCCAGTCCAATAAAGGGCTCCTCTGCAGTAAAAACTGGACGTCTTCACTAATACTAAATATTAAATATGAGGATAAAGAGCCAGACAATCACAGATGAAATTCTGGAACAACTGGATTCAAGACAAGGGAAGGGTTGCAAAAAGAAAAGGGTTAAAAGCGCCCGCTTGGGCCGGGCAGGACAATGAACACAAGGGCAGCCACCGCATCTCGAGAGCAGGCGGAGAGGCGAGATTTTTTTTTTTTCTCTCTCTCTCTTTTTTTTTTTTTCCTTTCCTTTCCTTTTTTTTTTTTTTTTTTCCATGATGACTGCAGAC